CCAGCATTTTTATGTGCTGTATCTGGCATACTTGTTCTAAAGATGTTTTTTGGGATGTGTGTGTGTGTGTGTGTGTGTGTGTGTGTGTGTGTGTGTGTGTGTGGTATTTTTGGTTAGAGTCACTCTTGTATTTGTCATAGAGATGTAAGTCACCTCAGTTTAGAAAGTTAAATCTGACAGCAAATGCGCACTTACTACTACCGCTAGTACTACGATGGCAACTATTATTATTTTTATTGCTGATTCTAATGAAAATGGGAATTTGAATCTCTTATTCTAGTCTTAGTTTCTACCTAGATAAAATGGACTGTTTTCATTATCAAATAAAATAATATATATGAGAACACTCTGAAGGATTTTTCATATATATGAAAACATTTTGCAAAGTATTATTATTAAGAGTGCTTTCTTACTGGACTATTTTTTTAAATAAGGCAGGTCAACTGATAAATAATGTTTTTTAGGAAACTAGATTGGAGGAAAATATGAATGACCTACCAATGTGATTTTGATCAATGGGTGCTTAGCAGTCATCATGAGGCAGCCTCAGGTGCCGTGTTGGTCCACGTCCACGAACGTGGACACCCCTGCCTATTGCTGGGCACCCCTCTGCCTGTGACTTTTTCCATACACAGCCTGGCACCCTCTGGAACCTGCATCTACTGATAAGGTCCCAAGGCTTGATTGCAATTCTGGCTCCAACACCTACTTGCTATACACCAATGGGCAATTTGTGTAGCATCTGTAAATCTCCATTTTATTAACTGTAGAACATTCCCCCTAAGGGCTCTCTTGAGGATAAATAAGACAATATATGCCAAGTGCCTAGCAGGTATTTTTAATATAACATTTATGAATTATAAATTTATTAATTATAAATGTTATATTAAGTAATGTTATATTAGGTTAGTAGGTATTTTTATTATAACATATATTAATTATAAACTGCAATGAGGCTGGAATCAGAACCACTCATGTGCATGGTGCTCACCATAAACCATCTGGATTGATTCCAAAGGTTTTTAGCTAAGGACAGGAAGCCTTTGCAGGCCTTATGGTCATCACATCGTGATTCTGCTCCAAAGTCTCCATTTCCACCCTCAAGAGATCTCATGACAACTCTTTCTGCATTGTTTGTTATGGAGGAAAATTTTTACTCTAAATAACTCAAATAGAAACTCACTTAAGTACATGGCATCTCTGGAGTCCTGGGTCCCTCATCTACAAAATGAGGGGCTGGACAAGGTTATCTTTCAGGTCTGGAGTTCTCTTTCAGGTCCGGAGTTTCACAATTTTGAAATGCTAGCCAGCATCTGATGTAGAAAGCCGAGTGCCTCAGGAAGGCACCTGATGCAGAGGTGTTTAAGGAGAGCTGACAAGGGAGGACTCCAGGATGCCAGGCCTGATGACGGCAGGAGCCTGCCAGACCCAGAGCAGGGTGTGGAAATTCAGAGCTTTGAGCTCAAAAGACATTGATGGGAGTGGGATGTTTTCTGTGCAGTGGTGCCAGAAAATTGCTTTTGGGTGCAACCCAGCATTCCTTCAAGCTTACTGATATTACATATTTATCTTGTGATTCAAGTGCCCCAGGTGCAACCATGAACACAACAGGCTAAAGTGAATCACTGAAGATGTCCCCATTTAAAAGAATAAAAGTAATAATAGAAATGGGAATCCCGACCAGCCAGCACTAGGGAAGCTGGCGGTGGAAAGCTGAGCTCTTCAGAGTTGTTTTATGAAAGTCAGGTTATTTCCGACCATGGAGACAGCCTGATGCATCAAGGGATCAGGGCATGTCTGAGCATAAGTCTCAGTGCAGCAGGATGAGGACCCCGACTCGCTCTTCCCTCACTCACTCACACATTCACTTACACAGAGAACCCGTCCCATGCTGGCACATCTGGAGGAGGAAAGATCACCACATGCCTTAGGGCATGTCTACCTCTGCCTGAGAACGGCTGGCATCCGCGAGATGAGGGAGGTGCCACATAGAACCAGATGAGCAGAGCAAGTGGAAAGGAAGCCCAGAGAAACCACAGAGAAGTCCAGTAGCATTCCCTTAGCCCCTGCTCATTAGACACACTGATGTGATCTGCAATCCGCTGGACTCAGCAGGGGCGTAGAGGCAGGTATAGGGACCGTTCTTGTCTTAAGCGACTTATTACATGTAAGGGGAAACCATGGCACCAAAATTAGAGGTCCAAAGGAGATGTTATAAAATCGAGGCTAGACCACGTGGCACAGATCCTCAGTCTTATGGCGTGCACAGAATGGTCCATCCCAGGGGTTGATGTGGTTTCTGAGAAGGTTTCCAGAAAGGCGTGGGGCTGCTGAGCCCACCATATGGGCAAGAAGAGAGAAGTGGGAAAGACCAGGAAAGGCTGGGCGTCTCATAGAAATCAAGATAATAAAACAGAAATTCCCTGCCATATTTTTCAGAACGTGTCACTGAACAAATATCTGTATGATTTTTCTACCAACAGGAAAAAACCATGCATTTCATTATCACGCTTATACTTTGCCCGGTTTGATGCGTTTCTACCTTTTCATCAAATCGCGTTGTAAAACGACCAGTGAATGTGATCTGCTCGTGTTGTGCTTTGTTGGCAAAAAAGGCAAAACCCTTGGAAGAAAAACACCAGCCAGGTTTACCTTTTCTCACTTTCCTTTATAAAAGTATTTCACTTTAATTCTTCACAGAGAGAATTTAACACTGGGATTATTAGCATCAATACAGCCTTTGGCATTTCAGTTTTCAGAAGGATAAGGTATGTTAATAGAAGGTAAGTCTGGGGTATTAAGGACTCTTTCATAAGCTCAGTCTTTCATTCATAAATAAATGTAAATCATTAAAAAACTTCATACGATTGGCAGGTTTTCAAAGGACCAGGGAATGAGCAGTTAGGATGTAGCAGTACTTTTCCATGACCACTGCGGAATATTCGTTGTGCGCACAGTTTTTGCCTGAATTTGGAGGGAAGGGTGCAAAGTACACTTAAGCCTTCCTAAACCAGCTGCGCATTAATATGTCTGATCCTGACATTTAAAAAATCCCCACAGAATGGTTTAAACAGTAAAAAGAACCTGTCCTTGGAATGAAAGAGCTCCTTCTTGAATTTTAGGAGGATTATGTCCAGACCAGGGATTGCAGCTGGCCACTGGGGGGAGACCCATTCATGGATCCTGTAGATTCAAGTTCAGGAAAATAAATGTCTTCCAGTTTAGCCATCCCCGACACTACATAGGCCCTAGTTCATTTGTAGCCTTAACATTTTCTCTTTGAGACACCACAGAGTGAAAAAGAATTTCCCTGCATATGGTATGGGGTCTCAGGGTTTTGGGAAGCCCCAGGCATTGGGCAGTTCCTATTCTGAAAACCTGAGAAATGGGCTGCAGAAGCCATCTAGGGGCAAGAAGAGAGAGGGTGGAGCCCATGTGCTTCTCCCCCCAGAGGAATGATTCTGGGAACATGGAAAGCCAGGTTTCTTTGATGAGGATTCCTACCATAGTATTTTAGAGAGGATCAGTATTAACCAGCCTACTCCTCTCTACAACCTGCAATGTCCTCAGGGGATTTTAAGAGACTCGCCATGCTACATGTGCATTCAAGTAAATCAGAAACCACACTTTTTGAAAGCATTTTCAATGCAATTTGAAACATCTCCTCTATCATAGAGTAAACAAAATACACAAAAGTTTGCAAAGGTGCAAAAAGCAGAAGGCAAAATACCCATTGTCAAAAGGCAGCGACACGCTTTGAGAACTTAACCCTTGCTGGATAAAAGATTTCAGCACATGCATGAGATGGCCTGGGATTTCAGGACTACCACTTTTCAGAGCTTTTGAAGAGAGGATGAGGATTTTAAGAGGCCACTATGCCACTGTACCGATGTTGCTGCTGGCAGTAATAGTATGTCCTTTAAAAAGCAAAATAACATTATAAAGCAGAAACAGACACTAAGTGCAAACCCACGCAGAATGAGAAAAATGCTTTTCTAGAAACTACCAATGCCTCCTCATGTGTGTAGTGCTGCCCTGCTAGGTGACAGGTAGACTGCAAACCCCAGGTCGCTCCCTTGGTTGTGTCATCTAAATGGGTTTATCAAAGTCTAACTGGTAGAAGAAATCATGATTTTGAAAATATAGAAATATCTATGGTATTTTCTATAACACCAGATGTCACATAAAATGCGTCTGTTAACAAGTATTTTAAAGATAATTCCTGTTTATTTTGTATAGTCAGTTACTATCTTGTTAACATTTTGATTTTAAGAATCTCTGAAGCATCTCCTGAGAATGCCCATGAACTTTGCTGAAACCTGGCTCAGAGGGGTCTCTCCTTTTCAACTCATCTCCAATGAATAAAATGAAATTCTAACTTATCTTTGGGGACTTCTACCCCACTGGTGGCTTTCTCAGGGTACTCCTATAGACCTATGATCAGCTAGCAACACTTGCCTTAGACTCAAGAATAAATTTAGATTTAATTCTTATATCTAGAACTAGCATTTAACCATAAGAGTTTACAATGATTGGCTTAACTTAAAACACTATTAAAAGCTATTTTAACGTTTGCTATCTTTAAATATTTCAAAATTTTACATCTTGAAAGTGGGTGTACAAGATGTATTTTGTTTACATTTTAATTCCCCTATACATGAAAAGCCCTTTATTCCACTTGCATTTGCTGCTATAAATACTCTGAAAACTTTGAGATGATAAAAAAGGTTGACGCAAACAAATAAGTAAAAATGCAATTTTATGGAATGACATCCAACATTTCACACAATCTTCAAATTAGTGTCTTGGTTGTGCAGGACGAGCTGCCTCAGTTTATATTCTGGGCTGTTGACCTAAAGGGTGCTTGTTTCTTTACTGGGATCTGTAGCTTTTGAAGTGGTAAATCAACAAGCTTCCTGTTTCTGAAAGTTTTAAGTGAGAAATCCTTTTTCATGAAATGAGCACATTTTTCAGAGAAGTTCTGTATTTGAAGTACCTACCAAAAGCTGTCCAGCAAAGCAGACGAAAAGGATAAAGGCGAGCAAGAGGAACGCAGCTCCAAAGGAAATCCCGAGGACGGGCGTTCTGCCAGAAAACGAAAGGGAACAGGTGAGCGTGGAGATGGTTTCCAGCATTCTGGAAAGCTACCAGAATCAGTTTTGGCTTAATTAGAACTTAATTAAATGAGGATTGCAATCCTCACTAATTTTTTGAGAAATTAAAGTAGAGCTAAAACAAAGCAAACATATGTCCATAGAAAAGTGTCTTCAGTTATGGCTGATTAACTTGCTATGATTCATTAAAGCCACCCTATAAGCATTGGTTCTTTAAAAAGGAAAGGCAATCTTCTCAAATGACTCACCTAGGTGCCTGGCACTCTCATGCTTGCATTTGGCCATGTCTCCCAGCTCAGTGGCCTCTTCCCTGACACTGATGTCCTCACAGCTGCTGCCTCCAGAGCAGCCTCCCCCGATAACCTCGATGACCTCATGCCCCACTCTTACTCCTGTTGACCTAGGAAACACTGAGTCCTCACCCTCCCCAATCCCACCCAATCAGATTCAATTCTGCTCAACACAGATGCAGCTACATGTTTACTGATGCTCCCCCAAGATTTCACAGGTATAGCTTTTACATGCTCAAGACAGCCAATGAACACAGAAACATCCTGTGATCACATGAAAAACCAAACCACTAATTTACAAATTCTGCCATGAACAGGTTACAGGTAGGCAAAAATGTTCATGAGAATTGTAAACATTTCTGAGAGGTCCTTTAAGTAATTAATTCAAAGCCTTTCAAGACTTTGTTTAATCCAAGGATAGAAGTGTTCGGGAATATAAAAAGGAATGAAACACAGTGAATCATCAAAGATGAAATTCTAATGAAACATCCAAGGAGAGGTCAGATAGTGTCTGAGACAAAAATGGAATCTCGTGCCAACGTGGTTGGCTAGCGATAGCAAAGGAAGAGAAGATCTGACACTGAGAAGAGCAACACCCTGGAGTGAAAGTGTATGGAATAGAAGAACCAGATGCAAGTCCGCAACAAGCTGAAATCACCCTGCAAGTGCACAGCTGTGAGCCTCGCAGGAAGGGAAGCGGAAAAACATCCAAGGAGAGGTCAGATAGTGTCTGAGACAAAAATGGAATCTCGTGCCAACGTGGTTGGCTACTGATAGCAAAGGAAGAGAAGATCTGACACTGAGAAGAGCAACACCCTGGAGTGAAAGTGTATGGAATGGAAGAACCAGATGCAAGTCAGCAACAAGCTGAAATCACCCTGCAAGTGCACAGCTGTGAGCCTCGCAGGAAGGGAAGCGGAATAATTAATCAGGGCACCGAGTAAACCCCTGACGCTGTCATGATGGGAAGGCTTCACTCAACTCACTGTGTCAGATACCTTTTCCATTATGAGAGATGATTACAGAAGACACACATCAAGCAAGATCTACACAAACCTGAGTTCAAACCAAAGTTCAAACCAACACTTGAGCCTGACCCAGTCATGCATTGGACACTGAGTTGTGTCCTGGACATGATTAGCAGTGCTTTCAAATACCATGTCTGATGATAACATTTGCTCACATTTCATGAGTAAAGACAAGACTCTGCTAGGAGGGTGTGTATACTCAAAGTTCCCCTAGAGTGTTGGCTAGTCTCATGGGCCAGGCNGAAAAACCAAACCACTAATTTACAAATTCTGCCATGAACAGGTTACAGGTAGGCAAAAATGTTCATGAGAATTGTAAACATTTCTGAGAGGTCCTTTAAGTAATTAATTCAAAGCCTTTCAAGACTTTGTTTAATCCAAGGATAGAAGTGTTCGGGAATATAAAAAGGAATGAAACACAGTGAATCATCAAAGATGAAATTCTAATGTAACATCCAAGGAGAGGTCAGATAGTGTCTGAGACAAAAATGGAATCTCGTGCCAACGTGGTTGGCTAGCGATAGCAAAGGAAGAGAAGATCTGACACTGAGAAGAGCAACACCCTGGAGTGAAAGTGTATGGAATAGAAGAACCAGATGCAAGTCCGCAACAAGCTGAAATCACCCTGCAAGTGCACAGCTGTGAGCCTCGCAGGAAGGGAAGCGGAATAATTAATCAGGGCACCGAGTAAACCCCTGACGCTGTCATGATGGGAAGGCTTCACTCAACTCACTGTGTCAGATACCTTTTCCATTATGAGAGATGATTACAGAAGACACACATCAAGCAAGATCTACACAAACCTGAGTTCAAACCAACACTGGAGCCTGACCCAGGCTCAACACTTGACCCTGAGTTATGTCCTGGACATGATTAGCAGTGCTTTCAAATACCATGTCTGATGATAACATTTGCTCACATTTCATGAGTAAAGACAAGACTCTGGCTAGGAGGGTGTGTATACTCAAAGTTCCCCTAGAGTGTTGGCTAGTCTCATGGGCCAGGCCCCTGCAAGGCTGTTATAACTCAAAGGTGAGTAAGACACAGTCTGCTTATGGCCTTGTAGAGGTAAGCATCGGTGTATCTCTATTCCTCTCCTATCTCGAACATTCTCCTTTCAGACACCACTCTGGTTCTTATTCCCTGGTCCCAACACACACTCGCAGAGCCTCCTTCTTCGGCACGAAAGGTGTGGGGAGGGGAGTGTGCAGCAGTCCACACCTCAGAGGTACGAGGGCTCTGGCTGCGATTCCCATGACTGAAGGGGAAAGTTGTGATTCATCTGCTGAGCTTTGGTTTGCTATATTCTCCTCTGTTTTTCCAAGAGAGTTGTGACAGGTTTTCTTTGATTCTATGTTCTTCTTGCTCCTTCTCAGTGTCAAGGTAATGCCAGCCTCATAAGGCTGAGTGTAGAAACACCACATCTTTTTCTTAGGCCTGGAACTATTTAAATAATGAATGAATGATCTCTTCTTGAAGGTGTGGTAAAACTCAAGTGCAAAACCATCTGATGACAATGGTGATGATGATGATGATGATGGTGGAGGTGGTGATGGTGATGGTGATGATGGTGGTGAGAATGGGGATGTTGATGGTGATGATGATACTGATGGAAATGGTGATA